TCTTAAATAAGAATGGTGTTGAACGTTGTGTTTTCGCACATTTATTAGCCATCTTGATTTCTTTCCTCTAAACTCTCTGTTCATGTCCTTTGCGTATTCTTCTGCCAGGTTGTCGAATTACTCCATGATTAGCTTTTGGTAAACAAACTAGCCTGTGTCTGTTACATGTGCTGTGAGTATTTTTCCCAATTTGTGGTTTGTCTCTTTTCTTTTCCCCTACTGTCTTTCCAGCGACCAAAAGCACAGACTCTACACTTCTAAATGAATTACACTACGTAAAATAAGTTTGCACGTTTATGTGTTGTGTACGTATTTTTGGATTATAGGGTGGCTCCTCCCCAGTACATTCTTTCCCAGACATTTCCGTATCTTCTCATATGAGAACAATCTTTCAACAGCTCGTGTTGTCAACCCAGGATATGGCTCTGGTTAAACACAGCCAGCAGCTTGAAAGTGGAAATCCCAGGAAACGTGGTATCATAACGGAAGCACTGAGCCTCCGACAACTCCTTATCTTCCTGGAAATTGCAAAAGTCGCAGGAGAAATGCCCATCTCACACGAAGCACTAAGATAATCCCTAAGACCATGCTGCTTGGCAGAGACCTGCCCCACATTCTCTTGCTAGTATGTGGCCATTAGGCCTGGACACGAGCCAGGACCGGATCTGTGAGAGCTGCACCTGACATTTCATTGAGCGGGACACATGCGCTGGGTAGAGCCAGGACTCCCGGGGGCAACATGACAGGCCCCGACATGGCCTGTGGTGAGCTTTAGCACAGATCAGCACAGCTCTCTGGTCTTCCCTAGCACCCCTTCCATCACAAAAAGTGCAAATCGATAAGCAGTGGTAGATAGAATTACTGTGTAATCTATGGGGGAACGAGTTAATCCGACCACACTAACTCATGTCGTTTGGAGTAAATAATGTATTCGTTTGGGTGCTTTTTACAAGTCCGTGACGTGGCATTTTTTTCATATGGGGAAATATATATATACAAAAAAAGGAAATATAAGGTGCAACCGATGGAGCACCATCAAATTGATATTTTGTAAAAGCAACACAGGTTTACCAGTGTTCTTTGGAAGTATTAGTTGTAATTGTCAGAAGTCAATTAAAACTCCAGAAATTTGGCCTCAACTTAAGCAAACAAATATGCTCTATGAGACTTCTCCCTGATACTTTTGCAGCAGGGAATATGTACAGTGTAAAACCTTTTGCCCATCAGGTGGCAAAATGCTACCTTGTTTTGATTGTGTCGATCGCAACGTGAGTGTGGTGAGGCAATTTCTCAGTCATTAGTGGATTGCCTGTTCAGACGCTTTGCCCGTTTTTCTATTAGGTTGTTTGTCTTTTGCTTATTAATTTGAATTAGTTGTCAGTAAAGTTTAAAAAGTAGATCTTTGCTGTGATATATAGTGCAAATATCTTCCATGTGAGCCATTTGTCTTTTTGTTTATAGTAACGTTTGCCGTGAGGTGGGTTAAAATTTTTATGTTGACAATTGATTTTCTTCCTTTCATGGCCCTGAGGTTTTATATCCTGCTTAGAAAAGGCTTTCTCACACCAGAATGATGGATGAACTCACCTATATTTTCTTCTATCACTTTTGTAATGTCACTTTAAGTATTTTATTCTTCCATGTGTCCAGTTTCTTTTTCTTTTAAGTTTCTTTCTTTATTTTGAGAGAGACGGAGACAGCGTGAGTCGGGGAGGGGCACAGAGAGAGGGAGAGAGAGATTCCCAAGAAGGCTCCACACTGCCAGCACAGAGCCCGATGTGGGGCTCTAACCCATGAAGCCGTGAGATCATGACCTAAGAGTCAGACACTTAACCGACTGAGCCACCCAGGTATCCCTCACATTTATTTTTTTTTTAGGGAAACTAGCCCCTTTCCCCGCTGCTGGCACAACACCACTCTTTATCTCTCTTTTCGCTCTGATCTGCAAAACCACCAAATGAAATGCCCCAAATCTATGTGTTTCTTCCTGGATTTGCTCTCCTGTGCTACTGGTTCATCTGTGACTCTGGATTCACAACATATGTGTATAATATCTTTTAACAACCCACAAGCCCATCCTCTTGCCTTGTCTGTTCTAGAATTTTCTTGGCTACCCCAGCTGTAAAAATGTTAAGCCATTCGTCCTGCAATCACAGGACATACAGGAAATGCCCAAGTTAAACCCGATCCAGAGGCTTGGAGGAGTCACGGTAGTTTTGTTTTGTTTTGTTTTGTTTTCAGTGTTGAATCTTTAACCCAGACAACTGCTTCCATTCCTTCCCACAAAGCGGTATCGGGAGAACACCTCAACTGACAATTGGCACAGAGTCAGCTATAATGCCAGACCGTGCCAGTAAGATTGGTTCCAGGTTCCCTCATAATCCCGGCAGTGAAACTGAAGCAGTTGGTAGATGGGCCGGAGAAGTTTCTGCCATGTGGCTGAGCTCCCTCGCTTCTATAACTGCATTGTAGAGGGCATGCTTGGGCTGGGATTTTAAAACCAAGGCAGCCCAATGAGAACCAACATGGCGTTTCTTCAAAATATGACAAGTCGAGGGGCGCCTGGGTGGCTCAGTCGGTTAAGCGTCCGACTTTGGTGCAGGTCATGATCGCGAAGTTCGTGGGTTCGAGTCCCGCATCGGGCTCTGTGCTGACAGCTCAGAGCCTGGAGCCTGCTTCCGATTCTGTGATTCTCTCTCTCCCCCTCTCCCGCTCATGCTCTCTCCCTCTCTCTCTCTCAAAAATAAACATTAAAAAAATAAAAAATAAAGATGAAAATGGTGAAGATGGTAAATTTTATGTCAAAACTCACCACTGAGTTCGCTTAAGAGTATGCATTTCACCGTATATGCAGCATTTTACCTAAAAATGAAAAAAACAAGGATAAATGGATCATGGGTAAGTTGACATCTTTATTCTTGACCTGTAACAACATAACTGGCAGCTCTTTCTAGAGCTTCCGGGGTTCCCCAGCCGGGCCAGC